TACTGAATGATGTACACAATTAGTTCTTTATGAGGCTCTATGAAGATATCAAACCAAAAACAGATTATCAGAGGCTGAGGAAACTTCAAGACCAATACAAACACAGAATCAGGACTGATAAAGGCACAGAATCAGGACTAATAAAGGCACAGAATCGGGACTGATAAAGGCACAGAATCAGGACTGATAAAAGCACAGAATCAGGACTGATAAAGGCACAGCATCAGGACTAATAAAAACACAGAATCAGGACTAATAAAGGCACAGAATCAGGACTGATAAAAGCACAGAATCAGGACTGATGAAGGCACAGAATCAGGACTGATAAAAGCACAGAATCAGGACTGATGAAGGCACAGAATCAGGACTAATAAAGGCACAGAATCGGGACTGATGAAGGCACAGAATCGGGACTGATAAAGACAGAATCGGGACAAATAAAGGCACAGAATCAGGACTGATAAAGGCACAGAATCGGGACTGATAAAGGCACAGAATCGGGACTGATAAAGGCACAGAATCGGGACTAATAAAGGCACAGAATCGGGACTAATAAAGGCACAGAATTGGGACTGATAAAGGCACAGAATCGGGACTGATAAAGGCACAGAATCAGGACTGATAAAGGCACAGAATCGGGACTAATAAAGGCACCGAATCAGGACTAATAAAGGCACAGAATCAGGACTGATGAAGGCACAGAATCAGGACTGATAAAAGCACAGAATCAGGACTAATAAAGGCACAGAATCGGGACTAATTAAGGCACAGAATCAGGACTGATAAAGGCACAGAATCGGGACTAATAAAGGCACAGAATCGGGACTGATAAAGGCACAGAATCGGGACTGATAAAGGCACAGAATCAGGACTGTTAAAGGCACAGAATCAGGACCCTTTTGAGATATAATGATGACCATGGATGAACTGAAATTCGGATATGGTTGCAAAATGCTATTAGTAATTATAGTGATGATAGAAGTATTAGATATTTGTAAAGGGAACCAATGTTTTAATCCAGACACTGTTTCTGATGTACATATGAGCTCTAGATTTGATTCTGAAGATTTTCTAGTCCAGGCTTCAATAGGACCTGTTGATTGTATTAGAACATGCAAATCATGTGGATTATGTAAGTTTGTGAATTTTAACAAAAGGACTCTAGATTGCTCACTCCTGGCAGTAGAAGGTCAGTTGATCACTGACAATGATTATATTTCTATAGAGTCTTATAAATGGAATGATAACATGATGGGTGTATGTAAAGATCATAACTGTCCTTATAATACATTGTGTGTGGTAGAAGATGATAACTATACCTGTATACCATTAGGGTGTGGAATACCACAAACAGATAATATCAATGTCACTTCCTCCAACAGTAAGTTATTGTGGAATTATGGAGAAGTTGTAGAGTATGCTTGTGAACAAGGCTTTTTTACCCGCACTAATGCTACTTGCTTGAGTACAGGCCAATGGAGTGACTTTCAGTGTACTGCTTTTTCTAAATGTGATGATAATTCAGTCTGTGGTCCACGAGAAGAGAAGTTTTACTGGCTCCTCCTGATTGCTACTGAGACTCGACAGAAGGTCCATTGTAAAAACGCAATTGGCCCTTCAATATTACTAGCAGAATACAACATGGCATCAACTCCTGCATACAAAAGAACTGCTGGATCATGTGACTTGATTCCTGAACCAGAGCCACAGGCGCATGATATGGGTTATACAGATTATCAAATGACAAGAGTAATACTGAATCCTCTGAAGATAAATAGTCCAGGGTCTAGTAATACCACGTACAGTCTTCAGGACTTTGGAAAAGCCGGGGATTGCTATGCTGGAGACAACAGTAGTGAATGTGGTGTCATTGGAAGATTTATTATCAATACTCGTAACACTGGCTACAAAGTTAAAACATCAGTTAAATGGAAAACTTGGGGTACAGCTGGGGTGATTGCTAACATTACCTGGTCACCAGA